TGTGTTGGCTGATCATTTGTGCGTATATCAACAGGAAGTCTTAGGAGTCTTTGACTAGAAAAGTCTTACAGGAACATGGAGGATTTTGAATATAAAGAATATGGAGAAGATTATACTGCTGACAATGGAACATATGAAAACATCTCTGTGAGTGGCTCAGTGACTTTCAACCGTCCCAGGTCCTTTTCGGTGGAAACTGTGATGGTAATCAATATCCTTATATCACTACTGGGTCTCAGTGGAAATGCTATAGTAATTTGGATTTCTGGCTTCAAGATGAGGACAACGGTCAACACCACTTGGTACCTCAGTCTGGCCATCTCAGACTTCCTGTTCTGTGTCTGTCTGCCCTTTAACATTGTTTACATGGCCACCTCACACTGGCCCTTTGGGCTGGTCATGTGTAAGCTGACCTCCTCCACTATGTTCCTCAACATGTTCAGCAGCGTCTTCCTGCTTGTTCTGATCGGTGTTGACCGCTGTGTGTCAATCACTTTTCCTGTCTGGGCACAGAACAACCGGACAGTGCCCAGAGCATCCGGAGTGGTCGTCCTCGTGTGGGCCCTCTCTGCTGCCCTGACTGTACCCTCACTGGTCCACCGTCAGATCAAAACACACGGGGCTGATACACTGTGCTACACTGATTACCAGACTGGTCACAAGGCAGTGGCTCTGAGTCGATTTGTCTGTGGCTTTGTGATTCCTCTTTTGATTATAGTCTTATGCTACTCAGTTATCTTTGTGCAGCTCAGGAGTCGCCCCATGAAATCCACTAAACCTGTCAAGATAATGACTGTCCTCATCGTGTCCTTCTTCGTTTGCTGGGTGCCCTATCACACCTTTGTCCTGTTGGAGTTGAACTTGGGGAACCACAGCCTTGATATGCTCGACACTGGGCTGAAGGTGGGCGGCACAATGGCTGCAGCAAACAGTTTCCTTAACCCCATACTGTATGTGTTCATGGGTCATGACTTTCGGCAAACCCTAAAGAGGTCTGTTCTGTGGAAGATAGAGAATGCAATGGCAGAAGATGGACGTACAGGTGGACGTAACCTCTCAAAGTCTGGGTCTTTTGAGAGTAAAGCATTAACACACGTCTGAGGTTTAAGATTGTGTCATTTTATTGAGGTTGTTTGTAAGTTTGTAATGATGGTACCTTTTTGTACTGCTTCTATCGATGTAATATGATTTGTAATGTATTCATTCAAGGTGTTACTGTGTACATATGAGTTTTAATGAATATCAAAAGGCATGTCTGATTAACACGTCTGTTGGAAATCTATTATGTTAGTTCTATAAAATTATTTGTCACAGGTATGGCCACTCATGTTTTCTTAAAGTATCTACTGATAACGCAACATGTCAAGTCTTGATCCCATGTTTCATGAGCTGAAATAAATGATCCCCAAAAGATTTCTCTGAAATTCTGGGCACAATTTTTTTTTACATCCCTGTTAGTGAGCATTTCACATTTGCCAAGATAATCCATCCACCTGAAAGGTGTGGCATATCAAGAAGCTGATTAAACAACATGATCATTACACAGGTGCACCTTGTGCTGGGGACAATAAAGGCCACTCTAAAAATGTGCAGTTTTGTCACACAACACAATGCCACAGATGTCTCAAGTTTTTAGGGAGTGAGCAATTGGCATGCTGACTGCAGGAATGTCCACCAGAGCTGTTGCCAGAGAATGTAATGTTCATTTCTCTACCATAATTTGCCTCCAACATCGTTTTAGAGAATTTGGCAGTACGTCCAGCCGGCCTCACAACCGCAGACCACGTGTAACCACGCCAGCCCAGGACCTCCACATCCGGCTTCTTCACCTCCCAGGTCCACCCATGGCTGCGCCCCTGCCCAGTCATGTGAAATCAATAGATTAGGGCCTAATTTGTTTATTTCAATTGACTGATTTCCTTAAATGAACTGTAACTCAGTAAAATCGTTGAAATTGTTGCATGTTGTGTTTATATTTTTGTTCAGTATATTTGGGTAACAAAAAAAAAAGAAACCTTCCCAGGCCTTGACAATTAAGCATCTGTGTGCTACAACACGTGACCGTTCAGGAACTGGGGTTGTGCAATGACTGAAAATAATGTCATGAATCATAGGAAAAGGTTGAGGTTAAAAACGTACAAATAGATTTCTCCTCTTAGACGGGATCGGTAGCCTTCAGATTGTGTCTCGAACCCGCTCACATTAAACAAGCATTGGTGACGGCCACGCGCCCCGAGTAGGCAACGACATGGGGATTCTGTCTCCGATCTCAAAATCAGGGCCAAAATCATGTAGTGTACACTCGGCTTTACAGTCATTATGACACAAAATGACACAATGTTTCCATATAACAGTGTGGGAGTATCATCTTGGGCGGTAGTCCACTGCAGTGGTGGATAAAGTACCCAATTGTCATACTTTAGTAAAAGTAAAGTTACGTTAATTGAAAATGACTCAGAGTCCGTAAGGTACAGAGCGGCAGGCAGGGTCGGGGCAGGCAGAGGTCAGTAATCCAGGGCAGTGTCAAATGGTACAGAACGGCAGGCTCATGGTCAAGGCATGCAGAAAGATAAAAACCAGGAAACCTCAACAACAGGAGTACGAAAAACACACTGGTAGGCTTGACGAAACAAGACGAACTGGCAACAGACAAACAGAGAACACGGGTATAAATGCACAGGGGATAATGTGGAAGATGGGCGTCACCTGGAGGGGGTGGAGACAAGCACAAAGACAGGTGAAATAGATCAGGGTGTGACACTTAAGTACCAAAAGTAAAAGTATAAATAATTTCAAATTCCTTATATTAAGCAAACCAGATGGCACAATTTTATTTATTTTATTTTATTTACAGATAGCCAGGGACACACTCCAACACTCAGACATAATTTACAAAATTTAGTGAGTCCGCCAGATCAGATGCGGTAGGGATGTGCGAATTGGATCAGTTCCCTGTTCTGATAAGCATTCAACATTTAACGAGTACTTTTGGGTTTCAGGGAAAATGTATGGAGTAAAAAGTACATTATTTTCTTTGGAAATGTAGTGGAGTAAAAGTAAAAGTTGTCCAAAATATAAATAGTAAAGTAAAGTGCAGATACCCAACAAAACGACTTAAGTAGTACTATTTTTTACCTACAGTGGCTTGCGAAAGTATTCACCCCCCTTGGCATTTTTCCTATTTTGTTGCCTTACAACCTGGAATTAAAATTGATTTTGGGGGGGTTTGTATCATTTGAATTACACAACATGCCTACCACTTTGAAGATGCAAAATATTTTTTCTTGTGAAACAAACAAGAAATAAGACCAAAAAGAATTACTTGAGCGTGCATAACTATTCACCCCCCCCCAAAGTCAGTACTTTGTAGAGCCACCTTTTGCAGCAATTACAGCTGCAAGTCTCTTGGGGTATGTCTCTATAAGCTTGGCACATCTAGCCACTGGTTCAGGGCAAAACTACTCCAGCTGCAAGACTCTTGGGGTATGTCTCTATAAGCTTGGCATATCTAGCCCATTGTTCAAGGCAAAACTGCTCCAGCTCCTTCAAGTTGGATGGGTTCAGCTGGTGTACAGCAATCTTTAAGTCATACCACAGATTCTCAATTGGATTGAGGTCTGGGCTTTGACTAGGCCATTCCAAGACATTTAAATGTTTTCCCCTTAAACCACTTGAGTGTTGCTTTAGCAGTATGCTTAGGGTCATTGTCCTGCTGGAAGGTGAACCTCCGTCCCAGTCTCAAATCTCTGGAAGACTGAAACAGGTTTCCCTCAAGAATTTCCCTGTATTTAGCGCCATCCATCATTCCTTCAATTCTGACCAGTTTCCCAGTCCCTGCCGATGAAAAACATCCCCACAGCATGATGCTGCCACCACCATGCTTCACTGGTGTTCTCTGGGTGATGAGAGGTGTTGGGTTTGCACCAGACATAGTGTTTTCCTTGATGGCCAAAAAGCTCAATTTTTGTCTCATCTGATTAATGCCCTCCTTGCCTGGTCCGTGAGTTTTGGTGGGCAGCCCTCTCTTGGCAGGTTTGTTGTGGTGCCATATTCTTTCAATTTTTTAATAATGGATTTAATGGTGCTCCGTGGGATGTTCAAAGTTTCTGATTTTTGTTTTTAACCCAACCCTGATCTGTACTTCTCCACAACTTTGTCCATGACCTGTTTGGAGAGCTCCTTGGTCTTCATGGTGCCGCTTGCTTGGTGGTGCCCCTTGCTTAGTGGTGGTGCAGACTCTGGGGCCTTTCAGAACAGGTGTATATATACTGAGATCATTGTGACAGATCATGTGAAACTTTATTTAATAATTATGTGACTTCTGAAGGTATTTGGTTGCACCAGATCTTATTTAAGGTCGTTATAGTCAAAGTGGTGATTATATGCACTGCACAAGTTTCGTTAAGGTAATTAGCTTAGATTTTTTAAGTATTTTGTCAATGTTAACAGATTCAACTTTTCTATTTTTGTTGTATACATGAAAGCATATAAAATCATTTGAAAAAGGAATGGCAACAAATAGGAAAAAGCCAAGGGTGAATGGGTTGTAAATCGTCTGTTAAATACCATTCTTGACGGAAAGGGGAAAATAGCTCAATTTCAGAATGGCCTCTGCTGTTCTTCAAATCTCAGTCGAATCTAGCTGTGAACTCTCCAGTGATAAAACCTTATAAAACAAAGTACAGTGTCGGGGATTGATCAATCACGTTTATCGAAGTTGTATTTTCACCACAATAGCAAAGGGGTAAAAAGATCCGCACCTTTTCCGTCATTTATTTATTTGAATTTTTTTAAACAAGTTATTTTTTTCATTTCACTTCACCAATTTTGACTATTTTGTGTATGTCCATTACATGAAATACTAATAAAAATCCATTTAAATTACAGGTTGTAATGCAACAAAATAGGAAAAACGCCATGAATAGGGGGTTGTAAACCAGCCTGCGGTGCCCCAGGAATAGCACCATGTCCATCAGCTGGGAAAATAAGTCTTCAGAGCCTCATAATGTACCACATGCACCTGCTTCCCAAACCTCAGCCAGTCCAGGGTGTGAGATGCCCACCAAGGGGCATAAATCTATATAAACTCTAACCACACTGCACAGAGATGGAGAAACAACATCTCAGTCATGTTTTTAGTGAGAGGTCTGCTGCAATTTGTTTCACTTCTCAAAACCTATAAGAAAGGCATCCTTTTCACCTTTTCCTCTCCACAAATCGAGGGGGGCAAATCCAACATGGCCTCCATACCTGCGATAGAACTCAAGCATCAGGGCTTTGTAGGGGTTGCAGATCATTCGAATGCTGGAGTCAAAGGCATGGATCGCCTCCCTGCCACTCTCATGGGTCTTTATGCAGATAGTCCTGCCATTGCACCAATCATCTCTCTCTCCTTTGAAACATGTTAAAGGGGACGTTTCAGTATTTTACAACTTAAAGTTACAGTCACAAAATGGACAGTGGGCCATTGACTTAACTGGTGTGGTGGGGTGTTCATAGGTTAACTTAATAAGCCTGCTAGTTGGGTATTTACCTTTGTGGTAGAGGGGACCATCAAAGTAGTAACTGCCAGTGTAGAATCCTGTGGCCAATTCTATCAGGTGACGTGCCTAGGTGTTTCCTGTCCCTGGGAAGCTGGCTAATGCCGTCAGCTTTTTTGGCAGGCAGAGCAGGAAACACCTGTCTATGCATCAGCTGTCTGAACAGGAACAGACATGGAAGGTGGCATTAAAAGAGGAATAGAGAGGACTTGAAATGTACAACCCTGTTTTAAATGTTTCTCCGAACTCTAAATGAAAAACTCCCACAACAGAAATATTATGTTAGCCAAGGTGTAGTCTCTCGTACACAAGCTTTGGTCCGAGATTAGCTAATGTGGAATATTCGACCAGTGTAAAGCAGAAGTAGAAATCAGCACAGAGATGATGACCTACCTACATGTTGAAACATGGGTCACATGCAGAACAACAACAAAAAATACCTAAACAAAAATACGAGGAAGTCAGTACCCTGTACCCATCAATGACGCAGTGCATAGGGGCTTTTGGGAAATGAAATTCCCCCAATAAATTTCACAAGTCACTCACCACCACTCAGCAGGCAAGCTTGCATAATAATGGCGTGATGGTGTGCAAAGTGAAAATGACATCTTGGGACTGATGTTCCGTTTTTGTTTGTATGACCCTACTGGAATGCTCACTCTTGATTCGAGTCTGATACACCATGAAGTAGTCCTGAGTGCCACAGTGCTCCAGCTCTTCTCCAGGGCAGCTCTGCAGACACATCTCTTCATCCTCCTGCTCATGCAGGGGGAACAGGAATGTAGGGTAACCACAAAAGCACCACTTGTCCCAAGAACAGCCAGAGACAACACCTGGGGGAGCATACATACTTCCTGTTCAACTGAGTGACAAGATCTGATGCAGATAATGAAGTCTCTTTGGTGATGTTTTCTGTTAGCTAAATACATTTTCCATTTAAAATAGAATGAAGATAGAGGTTTCCTGACCTGATCAGTGCAGAAATCCCCACATTTCTCAACAGACAAATTCAGGATGTCAGCCCTGATGGGGAAAGCCTCTGTTACGTTCACTGGCTTCTTGAAGCACCCTTTCAAAATGTAACTTACATCTGTGTAGAGAGAGAATGGGCTAGCTAGTAGATTAACTGCTCACCAAGCTAACTTTAACAAGTTAACATTATCAAGAATATGTATAGAAAAAGAAACAACTCACTGTGTCCAACAGAGTCCGGAGCTGGTTCTAGGAGGTAGATGGAGAGCCGATCAAGTCCTCCACAGATGATGCTCTGGTCCCCCTTGCAGTCCATGTTACAGTCTCTGAGGCATTAGGGGCCTGGACCTTATGGCCACAATAGCACTCAGCTCCAAATTCCAGCCTTGCATACAGGTAGCCTCTGATGCAGAGGACACCAGCATGAATTACTTTTACCCCTGGGTATACTGACAAGAAAGCTTTAAAAAAGACATAGCAATCATCAATACAAGTAAGGAACAATTGAATAGCTGTTACTAAGTGATGAGGTGGTAGTAGTAGAGCACAACCCTGTGGAAAATGTGAATGTATCAGTTGTATTAGTGAATGAGTGAGTGAGTGAGTGAGTGAGTGAGTGAGTGAGTGAGTGAGTGAGTGAGTGAGTGAGTGAGTGAGTGAGTGAGTGAGTGAGTGAGTGAGTGAGTGAGTGAGTGAGTGAGTGAGTGAGTGAGATATCTGTTGAGTTCTCCCTCCTTACCACTGGAAGGACAGTGACCTACTGTACCTTCAAGCACAGTTGTCCTGACATTGGAGGACTGCCATTTTCTTGTCATCAAAGAAAGACACCCCTCTATGGGTCCTCTTCTGTGAATTGTCAATGTAGCAACCAGGAGGTTGGACAGTAGGAGATAGATCATTTAAAAAACAAATACTTGTCAACACAAAGACAAAAAACGGAGGTTATGTATTTTCCATAAGATAACCCGTCCTTCGCCTTTTCATCCGACACACACCAAGCTACACTGACCAAAAGTATGTGGACACCTGCTCGTCGAACATCTCATTCCAAAATCATGGGCATTAATATGAAGTTGGTCCCCCCATTGCTGCTATAAAAGCCTCCACTCTTCTGGGAAGGCTTTCCACTAGATGTTGGAACATTGCTGCGGGGAATTGCTTCCATTCAGCCACAAGAGCATTAGTGAGGTCGGGCACTGATGTTGGGCGATTAGGCCTGGCTCACAGTCGGCATTCCAATTCATCCCAAAGGTGTTTGATGGGGTTGAGGTCAGGGCTCTGTGCAGGCTAGTCAAGTTCTTCCACACCGATCTCGACAAACCATTTCTGTATGGACCTCACTTTGTGCACAGGACATTGTCATGCTGAAACAGGAAAGGGCCTTCCCTAAACTGTTGCCACAAAATTGGAAGCACAGAATCGTCTAGAATGTCATTGTATGCTGTAGCGTTAAGATTTCCCTTCACTGGAACTAAGGGACCTAGTCCGAACCATGAAAAACAGCCCCAGACCATTATTCCTCCTCCACCAAACTGTATAGTTGGCACTATGCATTGGGGCAGGTAGCGTTCTCCTGGCATCCGCCAAACTCAGATTCGTTCATCGGACTGCCAGATGGTGAAGCGTGATTCATCACTCCAGAGAACGCATTTCCACTGCTCCAGAGTCCAATGGCGGCAAGCTTTACACCACTCCAGCCGACGCTTGTCATTGTGCATGGTGATCTTAGGCTTGTGTGCGGCTGCTCGGCCATGGAAACCCATTTCATGAAGCTCCAGACGAACAGTTATTGGGCTGACGTTGCTTCCAGAGGAAATTTGGAACTCGGTAGTGAGTGTTGCAACCGAGGACAGACCATTTTTATGCGCAACGGGCTTCAGCACTCGGGGGTCCTGTTCTGTGAGGTTGTGTGGCCTACCACTTCGCGACTGAGCCGTTGTTGCTCCTAGATGTTTCCACTTCACAATAACAGCACTTACAGTTGACCGGGGCAGCTCTAGCAGGACAGAAATTTGATGAACTGACTTGTTGGAAAGGTGGAATCCTATGATGATGCCACGTTGAAAGTCACTGAGCTCTTCAGTAAGGCCATTTTACTGCCAATGTTAGTCTATATACACCTGTCAGCAACAGGTGGGGCTGAAATAACCGAATCCACTAATTTGTAGGGGTGTCCACATACTTTTGTATATATAGTGAATACAAAGACCTGTCTAGCAATTAGCAATCACTCACAGAGGGCATCCTTATAACAGTGGTTCCTACTGTCAGAAAACAACATACTTCCATCAATAGTCGGCAGAAACCATCATGAAATATCCAAATGAAACCAAATATGCAAGTGAAAACACATAGAAAAAATTAAGATTTGCAGTTTTTTTAAGGAGACCCTGTCTACCTGGATAGCTTGAGACAGGAAACAGGAGCTTCTATGTTCATCAAATTACTTACTGTATGCATGTGTTCATAGAAGGTTTATAGGTCAAGCCCTGCTGGTATGCATGCTGGGATTGACAGGAACAGTATTTACAGACACTTCATTCAAGAGGTACCTGGCACTAACCGTAAAGCCTTGATATTGCCTGAATGAAAAGATTAGGCACGTACTAACAAGTGGTGAACAGATTGGGGGGGGGGGGGTTCTTAATGTTACTGTTTTGTACACTCTGTGTATATGCTTGTGTCGTGAAAGGCTTGTTATTATATTTAGCAGAATTTCCCATTGATAATATTCTGTAAATGCGTAGCTTCAGCTATTCAATGTGCCACTTACAGTGGGGAAAAAAGTATTTAGTCAGCCACCAATTGTGCAAATTCTCCCACTTAAAAAGATGAGAGGCGCCTGTAATTTTCATCATAGGTACACGTCAACTATAACAGACAAAATTAGAAAAGAAAATCCAAAAAATCACATTGTAGGATTTTTAATGAATTTATTTGCAAATTATGGTGGAAAATAAGTATTTGGTCAATAACAAAAGTTTCTCAATACTTTGTTATATACCCGTTGTTGGCAATGACACAGGTCAAACGTTTTCTGTAAGTCTTCACAAGGTTTTCACACACTTTTGCTGGTATTTTGGCCCATTCCTCCATGCAGATCTCCTCTAGAGCAGTGATGTTTTGGGGACTGTCGCTGGGCAACACGGACTTTCAACTCCCTCCAAAGATTTTCTATGGGGTTGAGATCTGGAGACTGGCTAGGCCACTCCAGGACCTTGAAATGCTTCTTACGAAGCCACTCCTTCGTTGCCCGGGCGGTGTGTTTGGGATCATTGTCATGCTGAAAGACCCAGCCACGTTTCATCTTCAATGCCCTTGCTGATGGAAGGAGGTTTTCACTCAAAATCTCAAGATACATGGCCCCATTCATTCTTTCCTTTACACGGATCAGTCGTCCTGGTCCCTTTGCAGAAAAACAGCCCCAAAGCATGATGTTTCCACCCCCATGCTTCACAGTAGGTATGGTGTTCTTTGGATGCAACTCAGCATTCTTTGTCCTCCAAACACGATGAGTTGAGTTTTTACCAAAAAGTTTCATCTGACCATATGACATTCTCCCAATCCTCTTCTGGATCATCCAAATGCACTCTAGCAAACTTCAGACGGGCCTGGACATGTACTGGCTTAAGCAGGGGGACACGTCTGGCACTGCAGGATTTGAGTCCCTGGCGGCATAGTGTGTTACTGATGGTAGGCTTTGTTACTTTGGTCCCAGCTCTCTGCAGGTCATTCACTAGGTCCCCCCGTGTGGTTCTGGGATTTTTGCTCACCATTCTTGTGATCATTTTGACCCCACGGGGTGAGATCTTGCGTGGAGCCCCAGATCGAGGGAGATTATCAGTGGTCTTGTATGTCTTCCATTTCCTAATAATTGCTCCCACAGTTGATTTCTTCAAACCAAGCTGCTTACCTATTGCAGATTCAGTCTTCCCAGCCTGGTGCAGGTCTACAATTTTGTTTCTGGTGTCCTTTGACAGCTCTTTGGTCTTGGCCATAGTGGAGTTTGGAGTGTGACTGTTTGCGGTTGTGGACAGGTGTCTTTTATACTGATAACAAGTTCAAACAGGTGCCATTAATACAGGTAACGAGTGGAGGGCAGAGGAGTCTCTTAAAGAAGAAGTTACAGGTCTGTGAGAGCCAGAAATCTTGCTTGTTTGTAGGTGACCAAATACTTATTTTCCACCATAATTTGCAAATAAATTCAAAAAAAATCCTACAATGTGATTTTCTGGATATTTTTTTTCTCAATTTGTCTTTCATAGTTGACGTGTACCTATGATGAAAATTACAGGCCTCTCTCATCTTTTTAAGTGGGAGAACTTGCACAATTGGTGGCTGACTAAATACTGTTTTTCCCCACTGTATAGTCCTAGTTATACCAACAGCCTTATTAAACCCTTTTAAAGACAGAATAACACAATACAAAAAAACGAGTGCTACTTATCTGCAGATGAAGGCGTTTGAGTGTAATCATGTTGGCCATATTTGATTCAGAATCAAATTGATTTACACCGGAACAGTCTTTATGTATTGTACACTAATCTGAAAAAATGCCTCTCATCTACAATATTCATACTTACACGTGATTTAACCTCCATCAAATGGTATAATGGCAGCCATAGCTAATTTTCCCACAGCATCGGACACCCCCTAACTTCGGACACTCTCTAGCAGTTGGAGGACTAAATCGAGGTTCTAAATCACCTCGAGCTCAACATTTAAATGGACTGGAAAATGCCGGTAAGTTTTGCGACTAACAACACCCTTCTAGCTAGCTGACCACCGATTTTCAGTGCAATTTATGTAAGTTAGGTTTTGAGAGTTTTCAAAAAAGTTATATATGTATACATTTTGTGGAACACGCTGCATATTGTAAAATTTGACTGCATGACAGACCACAAATAATTTAATATCCAACTTTTTACCTCTGAAATATAGCTAACGGATTTTCTAATGTTGCTAGCTTAGTTGCTAAATGTTGATAGAACTGCTAAGTAGGCAAAAAGGAAAGAAATTGTAAGCGTCAGAGGGATGTAGCTCAGTTGGTAGAGCATGGCGTTTGCAACGCCAGGGTTGTGGGTTCGATTCCCACGGGGGGCCAGTATGAAAAATACAAAAATAATGTATGCACTCACTAACTGTAAGTCGCTCTGGATAAGAGCGTCTGCTAAAATGTAAATGTAAATAATACATATCACGAAAACAGCTGAATGTTGTCAAGCTTTACCGTATCAAAATTGGAGTCCTCTGACGGAGGCGTTTTGCACAATCTGCAAAAATGTATTTGGAACTTTGAACCATGAACTTTTTGACACCTATCACTGTTGGCTATGTTTCATCTTACAACAGCTACATAGAGGCAGTATTTAGTCAAATGTTACAATGTATGCATCAATATTAAACTAATTGGGACACTAATTTTCATTACAGATAACATCAAACAAAAAACGTGGGTACACTTTCAGTTATTGTGAAAACTTTCATCACCTTTCAATGCCTTAGCTTTGAAATGTAAATGTTTATACATATTCAGATTGAGTTATCTTTCTAAAATGTGTATGCCAAGTTATTTAGCTACATGTATTAACACCACAGCATGGAGAAAGTCAAGAGGAAGCAGTGGAGTGAGGTGGACATGTTCCATGCCATGGAGGACTGCGTGGCAGAGATGACTATCCGCCAGGCTGCCAAGGTTAGGCATCTTTTATTTTTAGGAGATTACCATGTGTATGTGAATTGTATCTGCTAGTAACAGTTTTCTTTTCTTATTTACCAAGGTGCATGGTGTACCTCGGCAGACCCTGGCGGACAGGCTGAGCGGTCGGGTGACCCATGGTTGTCGCAGTGGACCACCTACATTGCTTGCACCAGAGGATGAAAATTCTCTGGTGGAGTA